AAAGGGTCCATCTATTAGCATCATGGCAGGGAACACAGTGGCAGGCATGGTGTTGGAAGGTAGCTGAGAGTTTATGTGATCCAAAAGCAGAGAGGAGAGAAAAAGACTAGGCCTGTCAGAAGCTTTTAAAATCTCAGAGCCCTCCCCATTGACACACTTCCCTCAACAAGGCCACACTCTGTAATCCTTCTAATGCTATCAAAGGGCTTCCTTTCCTGGTGAAGAAGCATTCAAATATATGAGCCTATGAAAGCAATTCTTATTCAAGCTACCACATTCTAGTCCCTGGCCTTTCTAGGCTTGTAGCTATAAAATAAAACAAAATTGCATTCAGTTCAACTTCAAAAATTCCCAGTCTATAATAGTCTCAAAACTGTTTAAAAGTCCAAAGTTCAAAGTCTCTTCTGAGATTCAAGACAATCTCCTAACTGTAACCCCTGTAAAATAAAAATAACAAAGCACTTTCAACGTACAACAACACAGAATAAACATTACAAATATTCCCAACATACAATGGCACAGAACATACATATTACCATTCCAAAGGGAGGAAAGGGAGCAGAGTGAGGAAATACTGGACCAAACCAAGTGTGAAAACCAGCAGGGCAAACTCCATATTCTCTATCTCCATGCCTGATGTCAAAGTACTCTTCAGATCTCCAACTCCTTTCAGCTTTGTTGACTGAAACATGCTTCTTTCTCTTGGGCTGGTTCCACATCCAGTCTACAGCTTTCCTTGGCAAGTATCCTACAACTCTAGCATCTCCAACATCTTGGGGTCCTCAACACAATTTGGCTTTACTCTTAAGATTCATGCACTGGCCTTTCTGGACCATTCATGCAGACATACCCCTGACACATACTTGGCTTCTGCAGCCTTAGCAGGAGAGTGAGATGCCACTGCCCCCCTTGTATTCTTTACTGTAAAGCCAGAACCACATGGCTGAAGCTAAGCTGCCAAGTTGTGCTGCTTGCTGGGGCTGGAACATGACCCCTTCTTTCAATTACATTAACATCAACTTTCTGTTATTGATGGTTTCCCTACTGCTTAAGTTTTTCTTTAATTCCTTTTCACAAGCTGGAAGCTTAGCTGGGTGGGGATCTTGCTCTGAGGCCACAACTCCCTTTATTCCATTTAGCTTTTCTTTAAATGTTTTATCTTCTTGGACACTGGACTTAGCTCCATTCCACTTTCTGGTGCTGCTTTTCTCCTCAAACCATACATTTTTTTTTCTCTTTGTCATCTTGTCCCTTTTCATTATAAATCTGCTTAAGAGTGATTACTGATGACCACAGAACAGCGTCAGTACCAGGCTGTCTTGAGATCTCTACTACTACAGGAATGGTCAGTCTCTAGGTCACTTACTAGTATTCTCAGTTGAAATCCCCCTTAACACTGTTCTCTATGCTGTCCCGCGCGATATTCTCGCAGGCAAGAATCACACAGGACATTTGGATCCTTCTGCAGGAAAGCTTTAATGCATCTTGAGAGAGAGAGAGCATAAGCTTACCAGAGCGGAGACCCCGAGCCAAGAATCCCGTCCCCTAATAAAGGCTGGCAGCCCTGCCTGGGACGTGTCACCCTATGAATGGCTTCAGCTCCTCAGGCCATATGAGCCACGGGATAGGCAGAGATCAAGGAAATGGAAAATTACCCAGCGCCTGCGAAATAATTTACATTCAGTGCCTGCAGGCACCATCATTGTAATGGAGAATGCAGGGACGGCTCCCTACACTATGCTCCTACTAGGATGACCCATTTAAGTGTCAATTTGCTTTTCTAGTCCAAAGTCCCCAAGTCATCCATATTCCTTCAACAACAACAACAAAAAACATGGTTAGGACTATCACATTAATATCCCATGTCTTAGTCACTGTTGTATAGTAAAGAGATGCCAAGAACAAAGGCAAATTTAACTGGGGACTTCCTTACAGTTTCAGAGGTTTAGTTCAATTTATGGCAGGGAGTGTGGTAGCATCTAGACAGGCATGGATTAATTGATATGCAGGCTATGTATACATACATACACATATACGTGTGTGTTTATATACATATTACATAATACATGTGTATTATATATACATATTACACATATGGAGAAAGAGGGAAAGACAACTTTGAAATCTCAAACCCTACCCCCCAGTAACACACTTCTTCCAATAAGGCCAACTTCCTAATCCTCAAATAGTGCCACTCCCTGATGACTAACCATTCAAATGTATTAGCTCATGGGGGCCATTCTTATTCAATGTAGTGGCATCTTGTTCCACCAGTGGACTTGGGGTGGTGGCTGCACCTTAGGGCATGGCTTCAGGTGTTCGGATGTGACCCCTTATAAGGAAGAGGAGGGGCTGGCTTATGTTTTCACGTCTTGTGATCGGAGCATCCTGAAGGGCAGAGACTGCATCTTCAGGAGCAGGAAGACAACAGAGTTTATTTACCATCATCATCTGAGTGCTCCCCTAATAAATAAATACCATTATCCTTTATCTGGATATTTATGGAGTCCTTTAAACCCATCTTCACTTGGTGCCCACGTGACCCAATTCCCTCGATCAGCCCTAGAGGGTGGCTGGCTGTGGCATCCGAGATCAACTAGTTGCTTCCCTCGTCTCATCAGCCACAATCAGGGCATGCGCTTGATGATCTGCCTCCCGGGAGCAGAGAAACACAACACTTAAGTTTTCCTAATTCCTATGTCTGCAAAGCATTAGGGTGCAAATAAATTTGCTCCATTTTGACTTAGCTCATGGACAGTGGCTGCTGTCTAAAAAAACAAGAAACTTGGATGGGAAGAGCAACTAAGGCGTCCATTGTGGGACACTCACTGTCGGTTTTCAAAGTACTTCAGTTGTAAGAGGTTCTCCTACCTCTTTGGTTACAATAACTCCAACTACAAACATTGTGTTAAGACTCAACTTATCTGCACTAGGGTCTATTACAAAGCATCCCATTTCATTCTCATGTATACCCTGTCTGTTTTGCTTTTTGATTTGTGTAGAGATGACACAGATCTTTGTAAATGACAAAAACTAGTAGCAGGTAATATGTCTCATTTGAGATTGTGGTCAACCCATGGTCCTAATTTTATATCGTCCTTTGGCCAAGGGCCCTTTGATAGTCTTCTAATTGCCAGCATTTAAAATGTGCAATCCAAACTCACTGACCTAACTTTCTTTTTCTCTGTTTAAAAAGTTTTATTATTTTTATTTTTGCTTTGTCTTTTTATCATTTTTTTAAATTTTTACTTGCTAACCAGTTTCCCCTCTCTTCTTGCTTCCTGTTCCTTCCCCCCACCTCTCCCCTACCCTGCTCCCCCATCCACTCCTCCTCCATTTCCACTTAGATTTTGTAAAGCCTCCCATGGGAGTCAACAAAGCATGGCACATCAAGTTGAGGCAGGACCAAGCTCCTTCCCACTGCATCAAGGCTGAACAAGACATTCCACCATAGGGGTTTAGGGCCAAGGAGCCAGCTCATGCACCAGGAACAGGTCCTGGTCCCACTGCTAGGGGCCCCACAATAGACCAAGATACACAATTGTCATCCAGATACAGAGGGTGTAGGTAAGTCCCATGCCAGCTCCCTACCTGTCTGTGTAGAGTCCATGAGCTCCCACAGGCTCAGGTCAGCTGTCTCTGCAGGTTTCCTTATCACTACCTCCCCTTGCTCATACAATCCTTCCACCCTTCAACTGACTCCTGGGAGCTCGGCCCAGTGCTTGGCTGTGGATCTCTGCATCTGCTTCCATCAGGTACTGGATGAAGGCTCTACTAGAGCAATCACCAATCTGATTACAGGGGAAGGCCAGTTCAGGCACCCTCTCTACTATTTTTAAGGGAGGGCAATTTAGCTTTTTGCAACCAGTGGCATAGTTCTTAAGTTGAAGTTGTAAGATTATTCACAAGTACCTTTTGTTTTAGCTGCATTCCAAGTTTTAAGTGAATATTGGTTACTTTAAAGGGCATGGCACGTATTCACAAAAACTTTCCAGAATACCTGGAATATCAAGTATAAACTTAAAAAGAATCCTAAGCTCATTCCATTCATGGGAGACACACACAGCTCTTAAATGGAATTTGACTTCTGAAAGCTGCAGGGGACAGGGGGAATACAGAAAGCAAAGGGAAGGAAAGGAAGCCAACCTCTGAGCAACAGTTACTCTTGTAATGGAAAATTCACTTATTAAATGGGATAATACTCAGAAGGAAAATGTACTATAAAAGTAAAAAGTGCAGCCTCTAAACATAAATAATAGTAGTTTACCTAAAAAGCAGATGTTGTCAGCCATTTAGAACTTTAACTATAATCTGAGAAGTATGTGGTTCCCTTAAAGCAGGCACATAGTACTTTAACATAATGTGTTTGCAAAGATCATTATGGTCAAATGGTATTGAGTAATTTAAGAGATTGTTCTTTTTGGTATTTTTGCAAAGCCTACAATAACTTAACATGAATAAGCAGACTAATTTATTATTTTCTTTTCTATCTTTAAGGGTAAGTAAGTAAGCACATTTTTAATACTCTGTGGAAAATGTCCTGAGTCAGAGCATATCTATGTATTCTGGCAAAAATTTAATTTTAGCATTCTGATAAAAAATATTTTCCTGTAAGATCAAAGGTTAACAAGAGTCAGTGCATGTAATAATGACTTGTGTTAGCAGAATTTTGAACAATTGCATCTCAAGTTTAGATAAATGAAAACATTCTATTTCTCCAGAAGGTTCTCTCAGATTTTAGAAAGCTTATGTATTTCAATGCCAACTGGGATTTCAAGATGTTACTGTGATTATAATGCACATTAAGAATAATATGCAAACAGTGGAAACAGAAACCATACAAGCTCACACTATCAAGATGAACAAGGCATTTCTACAACTGTACACAGAGCTGAAATAGGCAGAAACATTTCACAAGGCTGGCTCAAAGACCCTAGAATACTTCTGTAATAAGAGTTAAGGTACTATATCATTCTTCCAGCTAACAAGAAACTCACCAGTTGAACTTGGCACAAAAGAGTTTAATTATCATAAAGTGCATCAGTTGGCTAAATACATTATAAACAAAATCAGCCATAATACAGCATAACATCTTCACATACATAGAAATACAAATGGAACACCAGGAGCCAAGCTACTTGGGAACTTTGTAGTATATATGTTTATTTTGTTTTGTAACTCACTTGCCTCAAAACTAACATATTTTGAAAAGAATATGCCTTGATTAGCAAAAAGAGGTAGTGTTCTGAATGAGGCAAACCCCACTGAATCTATGGGTGGAGAATTGAGTTGAAGATTATGCAGAAAATATCCTAGTATATTAATAAATCAGGACACTTACAATAAGTATCTTGACATTAACTAATCATCATTTAAATCAAAGCTCTTTTATCACTTTGCCTATCTAATTATAGTTCTTCAGAACACATTAATCTTTGGCTGTACAAAGTCATCTTCTTAAGTAGTACTAACCTTCCAAATAAGCAATTTTTATTTAGAGATGATAAACACAGCAACATCTTAAACTGGATTCATCTTTATCTTCCCGATGGTGTTCACTGATTTAAACCTATGTCATAGAAACATTACCCAGATTCTAGCATGCAATTAGTTTTCACCTAATATAACTGGTGATTTAAGACAAGCACACACAAACACACACGCACACACACATAGTTTGGAGCAATATACAGGCAAGACACTGTAATAATTTATGTAAAGTATTTACGAATATGGGCCCTGATGACAAATCTAACTAGTTTTTTTTTTTTTTTTTTTTCCAGTATAGTAAATACAATGCTGGATAAAAGACAGTTAAAAGCAGCAGTGAATATAGTTCTTATTCGAATAACTTAAGAAACACTTTATGTAAACTTTATACATGTGCAGTCTTGCTCTCTTCTGTTCAGTCTTGTTAAGTGGCATCTGCCACTCCACTGCAAATCTGCTGAAATGCCGAAATGCAAGGAACTGTCACCAGTATGTTAGTCATCTTCCACATTATATGCCAACTGTGCAACTTCTATGTCTGCTATCACACTTCTAGCTTCTCTTGAGTTGAAGTGTGCTTTACTATTAGCTCTGCAAAGAAAGAGGATCATGTCAGTGAAGCGGACAAGGGGACAGATACACGCTCTCAGTTTCTTGTTATTCTCTCACAGAAAGGCCACTTATACGTTTAATGTCAAATAATTACACATTGAACCAGAAATTATTTGTGTGTGCATACCCATGTGTATGCATGTTTAAGGTGATCATAGGTGAACTTTTGGTGTCATTCCTTAAGTTACACTAATTTATTTAGAGTGTGTGTGTGTGTGTGTGTATGTGTATGCCCTAGCATGTGTGTGAAGTCAGAGGAAAACTTGAGGGGATAGGTTTTCTCCTTCTGCTGAGGTGGAACCAAGGAACTGGATAACAGTTCCTTGCTTGACAGCAAACACCTTTACTCAATGAGTCACCAACAATGGCCTCCACCTAATTTCCCAAAGTCTCACATTGGCCTGGAGTTTGCCAATTAGGAAAAGTTGGCTGGCCAGAAAATTCGCTTCTTAGGGAGAAACTAGGGTACTTTCTTTCTTTTTCTTTTTTTCCTTGATGAACAGATTCACGATACAGTAATACAAAGTTCATAAAAAATACTCTTTGGGCCAGGTGTTGGTGGTGCATGCCTTTAATCCCAGCACTTGGGAGACAGAGGCAGGTGGATCTTTGTGAGTTCGAGGCCAGCCTGGTCTCCAGAGCAAGTGCCAGGATAGGCTCCAAAGCTACACAGAGAAACCCTGTCTCAAAAAACCAAAAAAAAAAAAAAAAACAAAAAAACAAAAAACAAAAAACCTCTTTGGATTTAAATGAGCAGGCTGTGGTAAACTAAACATTATTGTGCTGCACAGTTTTATGTCAACTTGACACAAACTCAAGTCATCTGAGAGGAGGCACCTCAATTAAGAAAATGCCTCTATAAGATCAAGCTGTAGGCAAGCCTCTGGGACATTTTCTTAGTCAACACAGGGAAGTGCCCAGCCCACTGTGGGTAGTGTCACCTCTGGGCTGGTGGTCCTGGGTTCTGTAAGGAAGCACGATGAGCAAGCCAGAGGAAGTAAACCAGTAAGCAACACCCCATTCACAGCCTCTGCATCAGCTCCTGCCTCCAGGTCTCTGCCCTGTTTGAGTTCCTGTGCTTACTTCCTTCAGTGATGAACAACAATGCGGAGGTGTAAGAGGAATAAACCTTTTCCTCCCCAGCTTGCTTTTTAGGCATGGTGTTTCACCACCACCATAGCAACCCTAACTAAGACAATTATATACCTAGAGTCTTCATTCAAGACATCCCGATTGACTTGAAGTACAGAGGACTCCACCCTTAGGATCTGTCCACCTTCTGCTCCTGACACATAGAGTGTTGCCTCAGGTTCCAAGGACAATGTTCTAAAAGTATGGTACAACACAAGGTTATTTATTCTGAATAAGAGATGTCCTTCACTGTCATGAAAACATGCAGCATTCCTAGTCTCTAGCTGCTAAGTCTATGCAGACAAGTGGTTATTAAACTGTTAAATGAGGAGTGACAGTGACAGCATCAACTGTAATAATTTCCAATCTTTCCCACATGCACTCAGTATACACAGCTGGGGAGGCAAACTCCAGCTTTTGTAGTCAGAAGTTAGCATATCCTGTTATGTTGGTAACATGAACACACTTAACTTTTTTTATCAGTTAGAGCTTTATCTTCCCAAGGTTTCTCATCCTTAAATGTTCAGCCTCCCATATCCAAACAGTTTACAAGGAAGTAGGTCAAGAGCCCACTTTGAGAGTCACAAATTTCCTAAGCCACATTCAAATCTAAAGGACACTGAGGCTAGAATGTGACGAGTCAGATTTGCCAGACCACAGGTAGAAGTGTCACAACCCACCTCATTCTGTTCTCTAATGTGTCTATGTGAAGCTGCTTTTCTCCGAGCAGTTTCTTCAGGGACTCTACCTCTTTTTGCTTTTCCAGCAGTTCTCTCTGTAAATGGTAGTTAGTCTCTTCTAGAGTCTCACAGAATGCCTTTACAAAGAACATAAAGGCAAAGCAAAATTATGCACAGCAGCACCTTTCTCAAAAACATATTCAAGAGTCAGGAATACAGACATCAGAGAAATATGTGTAAAAACCCAAATAATTTGCTCTTCATGCTTATCTTTTTAGATTACTGCTATTTTGGCACACAGTTCCTATGCATAGGGTACCTGTCAACTCTCTTCCTTGAGAATAAGAACAGTAGCAAACACTGAAAGTGGATGTACAATTACAGACAAAGTGATAGAATATTATGTACGAAAATAAAGAATAGTATTACATGGCTTTATTTTTAAAATTATAAAAGCCATCAATTTCTATAAAATATACAAAACTACCTTTCCCCAGAATAGATAACCTGAATAAACTATTGTCATTTATTAAAAACAATAGTCAGTTATTATACTCTGATAAACTAAAGGGATTATCAGTCAAATTAGTCTTACAGGCAAGTTCTAAGAAGACGGAAGTAACAAAAACCATTCACAGTATTCAAGTAGTTCTGGAGAAGAGAAAAAGGAACAATTCCTGAGCTTAGAAAACTGGAATATTCTGACACCAGACTCAACATGAGTTAAAAAGGAAAGCAATACACACAGGAATTTGTTACAAAAATCATTATCATCTAAATTCAGCAATTAAAAGGAAATTTTCTCTCAAATAATTCTATCATCTGAAATTCTATAAATATATAATTCCTGCTGATTAAAGAAAGAACCCTGACAAAGTTATCCTTACATATATAAATAAAACCATCAATAGGACACAGATACACACATTCTACAAGCTAGCAAACTAGGAATATGAATAACTTGCTAACCTACAAAAAGACAGTAACAAGTGAACAAACCACAACTACCAACAGCTTACAGAAAATGTCTCATGATGACACAGGGTTTCTTTAAGATTAGGAAGAAAGGTAAAGTATGCTCACTGTGATGGTTTTGATTTATCTCCCAGGATATATTAACAAGCACAATAATACAGGAAAATGCCATGTACAATATTAAGGGCCAGTAGGGAAAACTGTGAACATTAGTATTATAAGGATACAATTAGCTGTACAGACAATTCAAAAGACTCCTCCAAAGATACAGTAGGGATGTGAAATAATCATACAAAATCCAACAAGTCAATCACGAAAATTTATATTATAAAACAGCAATTACTAACAGAATGATTGGAAGTTAATGTCTTGGAAGTTAAAAGGAGAAAAAGAAATGAAACCTTTATTGAAGGATATTCCCAAGTAAAATGAAACAGGATTTTCAAGGAATTCATGAGTTGATTATAAAATTTACATTGAAAACAAACAACAAGCAAACATGGGAGAAAACCTTTTCTCTGTGGACTCTAAGCTTCTGAAGCTACTGTAATTAACTGTATAGAGCTGGCAGGAGGAGATAACTAACTGAAGCTGAACTAACTGGCGGCAAACAGGCAAGAATGATTCATGAGACAGGAAAACTTTTAACTAGTGAAGGAAGGTGAACACTTTAATAAATGGTATTGGGATGAGAAACCACTCATATAGAAAAAGCTAAGTCAATTAAAGCCTGGTGTGAAAAGCAAGTTTTACTATCAGAACATAACTTAAAGATTACATTTGTGTCCTGGAGTACAGTAAAATAAAAAAAAAAAAGAAAGAAATATGATGAAGTATGGTAATGAGACAACTTTATAAGAGCCCCATGTAACCATTAATATAGAAAAGCCCTGGTAACCAAGAAAATCAGCCCAGAATCAAAAGGCAAATAATACTATAGATGAGTGATGACAGAGAGTAATGGAAAAACACTGATGTGTCAACTGACCTAACAAATGTTGGGAAGCTAAGAGTAAAATACACAGTATCAGGTAATTCCATGTCTACAAATAAGCTTCCTATAAACCCTTGTGTATCTTCCAGGATGAAAAACCATCTCCACAAGGGAGCACTGTCTTAGGAAAGATGTCCCTAGAGACTATGTTTCCAGAATAATCATTAGACAAATATGCTGATGGAACTATTTACCTATTAATAAGACCTCAAAATGCTTTGTGTTCTTAGAAAACAACCAAACCAAAACTGCTCTGAATGAATTATAACATTAAATGATGATGAACGTGATGTATGCAATCTTCTGTGACTAGCAGCAGCTTCTGGACAATATGTCCCATAACTCAGGGGCCATCATCATTTGCCTTTCTGGTTTTCTCAAACTTGGAAACAAGAAAAATTAAGTTCCTAAGCTGAAGAATACCCAAGTGGGGGGTAGAAAGTCTAAGGGTTTAGGTTTTAACATTTTGTAGTCATAATGTTTCCTTTAATGTTTTTGAATCCACAATACATTTCTTGAATATTGAGAATAGGTCTTCATGAGTCACTGATGCAGGGATTACTGGTATGTACCACTGTACCCAGTTCTCATTGCTCACTTCCAGTCATAATCTATTTATTGTTAGTATACCTCAGCCTCATTTTTTCCAATGATGCCACTTCCATGGAGATATAGCTCTGCCAATCTTAATTTCTTCTTTAGTACAAGCATTTGGAGGCATAGAAATGTCTCTCTTTAATAGGGTGAAGGGAGGTTGGGTGTGGTAGCTCATGCCTTTAATCCCAGCACTTGGGACAGAGGTGGGTGAGTTCTCCTTGCCAAAGAATTATCCAGTCCCTAATGCAATAGTGTGGAGTTTCAGATACTTCGACTTAAACCAACTCCACTCTTTTCTGACTCAGCCAGTGCATATTTTGAATTAAAAGTATTTAAAAGATTTTTTTGAAAAAAAGGAAAAATGCAAAAATTAAAATTTTTAAAGAACTGCCTTGCAGGAAGGCAGAACAATCTACTTGAAAGGAAAAAGACATCATGAACTGAAAAAAGTAGTAATGCCAACTGTTTTGTAGTACAATATATCCACCTAAAATGGAACTTTAACTTTCCAAACACATTCTAGGTCAAAATAACCCAATGAGCCCAAACCCAGTAACTACATGTGCGGCAGAGACAAAATATCACAGTTATCAAATGAGTAGCCCAATACCAACAGTCTATAGAGCAGAAATCAGATTAAGGTTGCTGAATTCATCTCCTGAAGTGTCTAGTACTCAACAAAACAAACAGATAAAAACCAACAAATAACAAACACCCAAGCACAACCGGAAAAAACAACAGCTAATAGAAGCTATCTCTAAATGACTTCAAGTAATGGTATACAGAATAAGTGATTTTTGAAGCACCTTGTATATTAATGTACTAAAATTTAAAAAATGTATTTATTTCTCAGTAAATAGTGAATCTAAATATGAGAAAGAATGACAAATAGAAAAAAATGAAATTTCTGTAATTAAAAAATACGAGGCCTAAAATTAAAAAAAAAAAAGTAAGAGATACTCAATGGCAAATGTAACAAGACGGAATTGTGAATCCCTGAATTCAAAGACAAACCAATAGAAACAATCCAATCTTGCAAACAAAGAAAAAAATAACTGAATAAAATTACAAGGAGACACAGGGAGAAAGGAGTAGGTAACTGAAAACTACTTGAAGAGATAATGGCCTTCTGAAGAAACCTCCATATCTGAGGTAAAGCAGCAGCCTTCAGGCCAACGAAGGAACAGAGCCAGTGTGTGTGTGTGTGTGGTGGTGGGGGGAGTGCATCACAATCGGATTAGTAAAAGTCAAAGACAGATCTTCCAAACAGAGAAAAGGTATCCATCATGTAATAGGAATGACAATAAAATTAAAGGCTCACTTTTCATTTAGATTGACAGAGAAGGCAGAAATGACGCATTCAAGGGGCTGGAATAAAAACAATCTGGGGTGGGGGGAGGAGTACATAATATTAAATGTTTGTGAGGGAATGGAGAAACAGAAACTCCCGAACTACCAGTGGGAAACTACTCAAGTAACATAGTTCATTAGTTTAGAAGTTTCTTTAAAATTAGACATTATGATGCTTTACAAGGAAACAATTGCTTTCTCAATAAACAACTAAGGTAAAAGGAAAGCATACATGTACTAGGGTTTAGAAGAAGCTGTCCATGTGTGACTTAGGGTGGTATAAAACTGCAAACACTGTAAGTATCATTCAGCTGGTGATGGAGGAAATGCAAGTTGGTGCACGCATTAAAAAATGACAGAAGCATAAAAACTGATGAGAGAAGCAATAAAATGGAATATCCTGTACACATGCTAACTGAAGGAAGGTAGAAAAGATTAAAATATGTAACTCTATCATGCACATCATATACATGAAAGATTATGCACACTGTATGTGGATTATAGATACAAAAACATTTACATTATTGAATGAACATATATACATACAAAACAAACAGAAAAGGCAAACTTATAGGGAATGGCAGAAGATTATGGGTTGTCTTGGGCTGGAGTGCCGACTAAAATGTTTTGAGGTAATGTGAATACTCTAAAATTGTTTATGGTGGTGGTACCACAGCTGTATAAATACTAAAAACTACTAAGCTAACTATTTAATAGTGAAATAACAAAATAACAAATGAATAAAGCTTTTGAGGTTTTTACTTCAATAAAGCTGTTTTTTAAAAAGCTGTAGCATTTACTCCAACACAAAGAGCTACAGTTTAGCTACACAAAACTACAAACCCACCAATTAAATCTGTTTCATTTAAATGCCATTAAACGTTTGGGGGTAAACTTGCATAAAATTCCAGCTAATCTCTTATTACTAAATCTGTTTTGTGGATCTAGCTTATTGCTTCAAGAAATGGGCCACTTTAATGTGTCAATTATTGTAATTTGAGTACCATGAAACATGAGCTGAATTGTTAACAAGACAGTCCTGTCTACCTCTAAAGATCAATTTGAATTCGACAGCAGGTTCCTCACTTGGGTCCCTCAGAAAAGGAATGATCACAATAAATCATACTACCAAATGAAGTAAATTCCTGTAGCATTTTATTGAAGCGGGAAAAAAATTGAAAGGATTTTAGATTTTTATTCATTACATGCCATGTATGAATTTTTATCTTTTCACTAAACTCAGACCATGTATTTCAATGAAAGAAACCTTTGATTCAAACATTAAAAACTGTCTGTATGAAAACCACTGTAGTTTGAACTGATAATATTTTGCTGTTTGCTAACCTATTCAAGAAACAATGTAGTAATTGTACTGTATTATTTATTCCTCTTTCATGTGACATAATATAGCACTTACCCTGCTTTCTTCTAGGCTATCAAATGGACCTGGTGGATCATCCAGACAAAGAAATTCTCTCACTGCAAGGCTTTTCAAAGGTAAAAAAATTAGCTGGCATACAAATAAGTTTATGAAAGACAGCAGAAAGCAAAAGGCACATTGACGCTATACAGTGTGTAAGGCACGCAATTTGTAGACAAGATAAAAAAAGCAATTATGTGTGTCTTCACATAAGTAGCCACATGCAAATATCAAACTACAAAAGATACTAAGGTATTATGGTATTCATAGGATCTTACAAATGTAAATAAAAATTACAAGTTTACTGTTATACAAACCATAAGACACAATAAACACAATTCAGAATAATGACAGAGGGCAGCAACCTGAGTAGTGACTCTCACTCTGACTTTCAGATAAGCATCAGTACCAACAGCTGAAAAGATGTCACCTTGCTATGAAGGAAATTATACTTTCCACCACGGAGTGTTTCCAAAGTTTGAAAAGCCTTTACTCTGAACTACCTTAAAGACTGACCTTGCTATGTTTACTGATTTATATACGTATTTCCCCTAGATGTAAAGAGAAAAAAATTCTGAACATGTCTTAATTACTAAATATTTTATATAATGAAGTATCATTCCCATGGATATAATTCCTATCAGCATTGGGTTAAGGAGGTAGATCACCAACTTCCTCACAATAAAATGCTCTCTTTTCTAACAGCAAAACTGGGCCCAAGAGATAACTTGACATGTATGTGCAACTTCCGTTTTTTTATTTGTAAAAGATAGGAGATTAATTGACATACTACATAAAGGAGATGCTACTCTGCATTGAAGAGAATGGAGCTTTGGGGTCTTTTTGGTCCCCAGAGGTTTATAACGACAAGGCTGTGTAATCATGAAGAGATAAACTGTATATTAAATGAGAACTCTTCAAAGAGAAAAACAGTAATATAAAAAAGTATTATTAAGAAAAGAACACGAAGTCCAAAGAAAGAGCAAAGAAGCTGATGGCAAGCAAGCAAATTCTAGACTGTTAAAGCTTTAGAATATAGTGCAAAGGACACATACTCAGGAAGGCTGAGAAAAGACACATGTCCATGATCATGGAAGATCTTCAATGTAATATACAACCACCTGCTATGCTTTTGTCCTTTTTAAGCTTCAAGCAACAACAGGTGGTGGGGTTTTTTTTTTTTTTTTTTTTTTTTTTTTCTTTCAGAAACCCTGTGAATCAGTTATTTCCTTTACTAAGTCTTCATTCAGCTCTTGACCACCGGGGTAATCCCAAGTCTTTTACTTGACAACACCAAGCATTCTAATGTGTCATTTCCTAGAAGCAATACCAGTGTACTGACACTTTCACACTGCATCACACCACTTTCACATTCACAGCAACTCTGAAAGGCAACACACTTATTTCTCTATCTCAGAAAGGATATCAAAGTCTAGATAGAAAAATGACCTTTATAGTGTCACCTAGTACAAGTGGTAGAAATGTCTTCTACCTGTCTTCAGAGAATAAACCTGTGTTCTTGTCGAAGAGAAAATTATTTTGTCTTATGTCTTGGTTAAATCAAATCTTTCTTTGTAGGACCGTTCTCTCTGAATACTCAGTTTGAATATATGACTATCAAGTTCTGGACCTTAGAATACTGAAGCTGCTTCAACAGCACAAAGTAGGACAGGGCTACCAGTCTTCTGGTGTAAGAATTCTAACTTCACCCACCCACTCTTTCTATCAAGTACCTACAGTTAGATATAGGTGAGCACAGGAAAGAAACTGTTCTTGGGCAACAAATCTAAAAATTAGGAATTGAAAAGCAAGGGAAGATTTTAACCCTTTCCCATGGCAGACTGTCAGTACATGTGGGAAAATCAGTTTTAAACTGAGATCTACTGTTCATTCCCTCTCAAGAGAAAGAAGTTTATTATCAGTACATATCAGCACTGCCTTTACTTCTAGGGAAAAATCTGTACTGTAACTTGAATCTCTCTTTGATTCTCTTAAAAAGGTGTTCTCTAAGAGAGTCCAAATGTACTTTTAAACTATGTTCCTAATAAACTATCCTGTTACTAAACTTTCACCTTGTCACTTTTTTCTTTCCATAGATAATATACTTCTTTAGACTTCAGCTGTTTTTGAAAGACTAGCAGTTTAGTAGCTAAATGGGCTTTATATTTCATTTTTCATTTTAAGAGAAAACAGCAACCATGAAACAAACTAAGGCCTAAACTCATTGCAAGGTCAAATAAATAATGAGTAAAGAGCCCAGTGCAGTGGCACATGCCTGTGTTGGGGAGATTGTGGCAGGAGGATTATAAGTTATAGGCCAGTCTGGCCTATATAGCCTCTTAAAAAAATCAATAAAAATATACTAAAAATAGTAATACCAAATTTGATACAAAAGCCACTACATAAAAATATTAAGAGGGATTCAGATAAAAAGACAGACACACAGATATGAAACCTAGCCTTAAGCGTGAAGACTGAGGAATCAAGGCTGAAGAGGCATTCACTATGTATGAGAACAGTGGTGTGGTTGTGAGGCTTGTCAAGGAGTGAGAAAGGAGGTACTGGGGGCTTAGTTAGATACTGATCACCTTCCCCTGGGTACTTTTAGCCCATTAGAGCCTTTACTAACCCTTTTGGTCCTTTCTGAGCCAGAATATTTCCCATCCACAGCTCCTCTAGCAAGAGAAGTAGAGCTTCCTTCTCAGAGCTGGCATGAACACTACCTACACTAATGCTGATTCTTACATGACACCCCAGCAACCTGCATCATTGTGTCTAGAGTGGTGTCTCATGCTGACCAGCCTTCCCACCTCAACCTGACTCTTGTGCTTCCTGATTCAGCGTATCTATTATTACCCACGAAAGCCTCTCATTACCTACCTCCCCTCTTCTTCGCTAGGTCCAGGGTTAGTGTTTGAAAGCTCCTTTTGACAGGACTTCTTACGGTTTAACTAGCAGATTAAAGAATTTAAAAGGAGAAAATATTGGAAATAGGATGTGTAATACTTGTGAAAACGTAACGGTAAAATGCCATTACTGTGTGTAATGGTGAAATGTCAGTGTAGGAGACAGCATAAAACAGCTGTTTTTAACTATGAGACTGAGCAAATAACTGGACTTCACTTTGACAAACCAAATACCATGCTGTTTCCAGCATATGACCTGTAGGCTTTACTTCTGCAGTTTGATTAGAAAATTCTCTTCCATCTGGTAAATCCTTCTTCACTCTCTCAAATATGGTTCAAATATCACTAATTCTTTAGAGACCACCTCAAATATCATCCAGTTGTAAGTTCTGACATTTCCTTGGCTAAAAGATGTATTTCTTGCCATATTACTTCTGAGGGCACATCTTCTCACATTTAATACAGGACCAGCACCTACTTCACCTTTGTGTAGCCATGCTTTCATGTAATAAATGGGTAAAATTTCTAGTAAATATTGTTCTCATGGAAATAGTGCTTCTTTTCAATGTTTTTTCCTGTTTTATAAATAGACCTGAAAACAATATTGTCAGTACTTTAAACTAAGATTTATTAATTTCCTTTCATCTTTCCTCCACTTTCACCTTGTCACATTTGGCAATTATAACAGGGTTGCCAGCTGTGCAATGACAACAGCTGTGTGGTAAGGTGCAGTGGCTATCAAGAAAGTGCACATAGTCTATCAGAAGGGAAATTGAAGACTTATTTAACACATGAACAATTATTTATATATGAAGACATACTTATTTTTAACTTTTTGATATTTTACTGTGTATGGGAGTTTGCCTGTGTCTGCCTGCCCTATATGCATGGTGCTCTTGGCGAAGAGAAGAGAGTGTCAGATCCTCTTGGAGCTGGAGTTACACATGGTTGTTAGCTGCCATGTGGGTGCTGGAATTTGAAACTGGGTCTTTTGGAAAAGCAGTCAGTGCTGTTAACCCCTGAGCCAACACTCCAGCACCCCCAAAACAGACAAACCAATAGGGTCTTCATGTGTAGGCCAGAATGGTCTGGAAGCTGAAATCCTCCTGCCTCACCTCCTGTGTGCTGGAGTACATGATATACCACCATACACTTCTTTGTAGTGATCTGTAAGTGCAGTTTCATAAAGAAATGTAGAAATTTTGTTCATCCTTTTTTCCCTTGGGAGGAATTGACTCTGTTCTCTTTTCAGCATTAAAAAAGTGAAAGACTCTTCTCTCCTTCATTTTTAAACACAATGAAGTCCTTGAATAGTGAATTCTTCTTCCCTCTACTATGTGACTTGAAGTAGAGGAGACTATGGAAATCTAGTACATGGAGTACAACAGGAACAGCACCACTGACAGCAGAATGCTGCAAGTAATTCAACCTCAGACTGAGAAGTAGGCATTTGTTTATAGAAGAAACAGTCCCGAAAGGAGAGAAACAACGTAATCATAAAGCAGAGAGCTACTATGTCAGTTTAAGAAGACAACTTTCAAATCAGTGAAGGGCTCCTACATATACTATGAGGAAGGAGGGACCTTGGTGGAGAGGAAAGGGACTAATCAAGAAACCTAATGAAGTGAAGTCTGTGTTGAAATTTTGGGGATGTACAGGAGTTACAGTGGAGTAGTAGTTTGAAATACTGCCTTTCTAGGAAGCATATACTTGAAGACCAAGAAGCATGATAATGTTAGATACAGAATGGTTATGACATGTACAGAGAATGGATGAATGGAGAAATAACAAATCCATGGCTGGAAAGACAGTCAAGTCAGCTGGGACCAGAATAATATCATCAAATTGCATCACAAAAATATCAGAGGCTTTAGTGAACTACAGAAGGCAGAGTGAGGAGAAGAAGACAAGCAGGAAAGACTACAGTAATTAAGGCAGAGACCTGTTGCACTAGGATGGAGCTGACAGCAGCCAGAAAAAGTAGACAAGTTTGAGTGGGTTCTAAAACTTAAGGGAAGAGATTAAAGTAGTGAAGGATGTGTGAAAGATGACTTTGCAGGTCTGAGTAAACAATGATACTGGAATTTGGGGGAAAACTATCTGAAGACTATTCTTCAAGCTGAGACAGCACACACTGAAGAGCAGATGCTCTTCAGAAGAGTATGCAGATCTCATGCAGATGACAGGCAAAGACGGAAAAAAGGGAAAGAGACGGATGGGTTCTTGGTTACCTTCCATCATTATTTGAAAAACTGCAAACAGTTAAGACATGTTCCATATGTTGCTGTTCACTGTAAATGCTCTCTAATTTTTCTAATAATGTAAACCCTTCAAACAAGCTAATTCATTAAGGGATTTTCTTACATTCAGAAGCAAAAAAAAAAAAAATTCTTGATCCTTTTCATACACTGCTCAATGTTTCTAGAAATTTTACTTTACTATATGAATTAATCTAACTTCCTAATTTTTATATTCTTTGCAGAGATATAAAAATATTATCCTTAAATTACTGTTACATTAACCAAACTTGAATAGTATGTTAGCTGTTTTGCCTAAATGATTGCTAACACGATGGGTAGTGTGAGGACACTGTACACTGAAATGTCCCCTTTATGTTTAAGCTTTAATACAAATGAAATGCTAAATAAAATCTTCAACTGAAAGCAAGAAAATTCCATGCACAGATTTATTTGAGAGAAGTAATTAAATTCTCACCCTCCATTATGTTCTGATATGAAGTTGGTCCTAAATTTATTCTTCAGTTTAAACTGGTTTTTGAAATGATTTCATAATCTCTTATTTCAATTTGTTACATACCAGTTAGCAATGTCCTTGTGAGCTACTAAGTTTTGAAGAAATGCTTGTAATCCTAATTGTCTATCTTCTAGAAAGTCAGCATTGTAATTATCTTTAAACCAGCGTTTTGGAGGGAGTGCTAATCGAAATCCTGGAAACATCTCTTTCAACTGAAAACAAAGAAAGAAGAGAGAGAGAAAACACTGGGCTCAATTACATGAATTGAGTACTGTTCTATAGCATTGACTATGTGAAATCATTCACCAAACAAGCTTAAGCTAATTAAACTACCTACGCCTTTTTCTGCATTTGCTTCTTGATGCTTCCCAGAGCTGAGCAAGCAGGCATTCTAGTTGCTCCACACCAGGACCTGCACATGGTATTTTCCACTTGCTCTTGTTAGTCATCCTGGTGTAAGGAGTGGAATTCACTGTGGCTGAAATTTGCATTTCTGATTTCATGCATAATGTATAATTGGCTATTCGAATATCTTCTCTGGTGCATTATCTATTCAACTTTAGACCAGCCATTGATCAACCCATAAAAAGTTGGCTGGAGCTTTGAAGATGGAGGAATCACACACAAGGATCTATCCATACCCTAGGAATGATCTCCAGTTGACAGGCAGAAATCAAACAAATGCCTTGTTCCTACAATGTCAAAAACTAAACTCTGATCAAATCCTGAATGAGCTTGGAAGCTGATTCTTCCCCAGAGACACCAGATAAGAGTGCAGCCTAGCCAACAGACTGACTGTGAACTTGTCTGGTCCTAAAAAGCACGAAAACCTTATCCCAAGCCACTATTAAGAAGAGTTTTAATGGTGTAGGCAGCAATAAAACTAATACTAACATTACATATTTTTGTTCACTTTCCTTTAAAGTGATGTTAAGTAGATTTTCCTCAAACTTTCAAAGTTATATAATCATATATGAAATATTAAACATTTCATATTTATATTAGAACAATTTTTCATAAACATGTAGCTAACTGCAGATGACACTAAAGATTATGATAGTGAAATGAAGTCTATGATTTTCTTACAAACCCACAAAGACAAAGGGAACAGATTCATAACTCACAACTGAGAGGCAGCTTGGGATTTATCGACTACTTACTTTGTCATTAAGCCTAGAGAAGTCCGTGTATCTTCGGAAAACTACCCAGCTTTCTTCTGGGGTTTTCTTTACTAGTATTTTATATACCTAGAAAGGGAGAAAGGGAGAGGTACAGGGAAAGCAATATTGAGAGGGGAATGGAAGAAAAAGAGGGAAGACAAAGAAAGAGGTCAAACATTTCTAGAAAACTTTACTTGGCATATCAAGCAATTTTTATGCAAGAAATATGAAGTCATTCAGATAATCAAATATATGGATATGGAGACAATTTTTAAAAGCATGACAAAGACAAAATGCCACAGCACATGTCTACATGTGTAGACATCAGAAAGCAACACCCAGGACTTGTTTTCTCCTTTTCTACCTTGTGGGTCCCAGAAATGAACTAAGGCCATTGGATTTGCTGGCAAGCACTTTTACTCACCAGCTTGGTTCTACCTTTTAGTAGCATCATTGTGGAGGTTAGGCTTCAACATATGAATCAAGGTGGACAAAAACACTCCCACCCTACCAGAATCTTAGTGAATATACATTCTTTCATAAGATGGGCAGGTCAATATAGACAAACAGCCATTAGGTTATAATTGGTGAAACGTTCTGAATGATGGTGTCACTCAGATTCACATCTTATCCCAGTGGTATGATAAACCAAATCCTATACTAGACTGCTTCTTCAAAAATAATGTCAACTGTTTTTCTTGGAGGTTCTCTCCTCCAGGCATAAGTTAACAGCATGAAACATCAGAGTAAACATAAAAACTTTACTTCAAGAAAACCCCCAAACAAACCCTTTGATCTAATGTAACTTTAGCAGGGTTAATGATAAACACATAAACACAGGCCAACATGCATAAATACACAAAATTATAGTATATAAACTTGGCTGGTGTGGTCAGAGGCAGGCAGATTTGTATGGTTGCAAGGCCAGCCTGGTCTACAAAGTGAGTTGCAGGGACAGCCAGGACTACACAGAAAAAACATGTCTCAAAATATCAAAAAGGAAACAAACAAACAAACAAAAACCCAGAAATATTAAAGCTGGACAGATTTTTTTAAAGTAGTTAAAAAATAGAAAACAAATAAATATAGATCTCATCTAAGAGTATCAGGTATACCAGACAAATCTGACTCCAAGACCTGCACTGGCAACTACAAAACATTATTAGGAAGAATTAGAGACTGAAGTCAATGGATTCATCAAATATGTGAAGATAGTACTGTGAAGATGAAGGTTCTCTTCAACTGATCTGTATCTAACAAACCCAGTGCACAGGGCAGAGAATAGCAAAGGCCATTCTAAGAAACAACAGAGATTGAGCACTGAGACTACTGGGTATCAAGATCTATTAAACACTGTACTTATTATGGTTGTAAAATTGGTAAAGATAAAAAAATGAGCATAGTAGTAGATTCACCTTTATGAATTATGTCATAGGCAACACTGAAAATGAAGATAGCTTTTACATAAAAAGCCTGATTAAGAGATTTCACAGAAAAACATGAATGGCTTGGCCTTTTTCATAACATGGCCATAAGAATCACTCCTGGATGGTCTTCTGTTATAATTGTGAAAGGTCTAACACAAAACCGTTTGACAAAAAGCATGGACAACACCTTTACAACATTACAGGAGGCAAAAAGTATAAAAAAGTGCTAAGCAGAGCCAGATGTAGTAGACATGCCCTAACCTTGGCATTTGAGAAGCAGAGGCAGCAGAATGGCATGTCTGAGAACAGCCCGTTACAGTGAGACACCATCGTAAAAGAAGAAACAAGAGGAAAAGAGAGAAGAGGATATTTGTAAGAAAAGAGAACAATCAACTGAGATGTTAAAGCTATGTCTAGCGCATGCACCAAGGAAAGGTAAGAATGATCACAACACACATACTTGAAAAAGGACCTGTCTAGAATGCAGAAAACTACAAAATGGTTATGTATAAGTGAATGTGTAAGAGACTATCCAAATAGTCAAAAGGTTTGATTTTTTTGTTTATTTGCTTTTTTTTTTGAGACAGTGTTTCTCAGTGTAGCCCTGGCTGTCCTGGAACTTGCTCTGTAGATCAGGTTGGCCTCCAACTTAAGGGATCCACTTGTCTCTTTCTCCTAAGTGCTGGGATTAAAGTCATGTGCCACCACTTTCTGGCTAGGTTTTGAATGTTTTAATGCAATTAGTCATTAAGAAAACTCACATTTAATATAAACTAGAATACATAAATTAAGAAGGAAGGCAAAAGGTGACACACTAGGAAGGTGTGAATGAGTGGAAATCCCACACACTGCAGTGCAATGACACCTACAGGGCATAGCTCACCAGTATCTTCCAAGGCTGGGCCTCTGAACTAGAAACTTTACTCCTAAGTAGATTGCAAATGGAAATGTGTACATGTGTTTCCAAAGTGATCAGTACCAAACGATCACAGCAGTCGTGTCTGAAAAAGCCTAAAAAAACAAGTATTACCAGCAATAAAAATGAGGTACCTAAATGTATACAAGATTAAGGGTGGCTCTTACAAGCATAATGCTGAAACAAAACTGGATCCCAAAGAGTATATGCAAAACAACCACATTTATATCAAGTTCAAAAAGGGCCAAAATTAATTGAGGCTACCAGAAAAATACCAGGTAAGTGTGTATTGACTGTCAGGGAGCATGGGGTGTTCTATGTGTGCTAACAATGTTCTTTTTCTTTATCTATGTGCTCGTTACAGAGGTATGTCTAGTGGTAAGATAAGAGTTTGCAGTAGCATGGCAGAACTCACTGGGTAAAAGTCACAGAATTTTATGGTTATGAATTTGAAGTATAGGCTTGACTTAATAAGCACAAACTTAGGCACACAGGTGACCAATCTTTGACTTGTCACTGGTGTGCAGCAAAAGTCAATACTTACAGTAAATTTGGCTCGCTCTTCCATAACTTCATAACCCAGAATTGTAGGCGTAGAAGGTCTCTCTTCCCAATTCACTGTGTCAGGATGCTGATCTTCAGTGTCTCTTGGTCTAGTAGAATATTCAATGGATGAATCTGCACCTGTAAACTTAGTCCTAATGAGAGGACTGCCACAGACAGATGATGTACTGTCCATCCGATCCTGAACATTGGTCTGCTTAAAATTCGAGTCTTCTAACTGGCCTTTGGAAGAGTTTGAGCTAGTGGAGACACTACCAAAAGAAGAACTCCTTTGATTTCTGTTGGTTGTAAAACTGGAAGCAGAGTTTCCTATTGGCATAGGAACTGGGACGTAAGGGGTTGCCATCTTCTTTGGCCTTGGCAACAAACCTGTATACTTTTGACTCTAAATACTTAAAGAACAACCAATATGCAGTTCATTATTTTCTTCTTAGAGTTCACTAGCTAAAAATGAGAAGGAAATATCAAATGGTTAGTCTTCTACCTAGAACACAATCCAAAAGAAAACAAAATGTTCTTTTTAATATGTGAGCTCAAATATTTTGTGAACACATACTTCTAACACCTTCCTTTAATGTGAATTATCTCCATGAAGTCTTGTTTGCAAGGTAAAGAGAACGAACTTATTTTATCTCTTTTCTTAACACTCATAATACATGGCAGTCTCTTTTTTTGCCTCCTTTCATTCCTTTATTTTTGCAACATTCATTTCAAATGGACTTAATCCTAACATACATACAAACATATTCCCCTCAAGAGGAAAAATAAGAAGTTTTGTCATCCTGATAGTACTATAGGAACAGTATAGCAAAAGAAAGGAAAAACCATTCACATTGCCTTTTTATATCCCAAGTACTTAAACATGCTAATCACAGTCAATCAGAAACTTAGGTGGTATTATTAAATGTTCTTTTATTTTGGAAGAGATTTGCAAATACTAGGCAGGTACTCTAACTCTCTCTCCTAAAAAAAAAAAAAAAAATTGTTTTTAATTTTTAGATGAAGCCTCGTTAACTTACCAATGTGCTGCCTGTGACCTTGCTAAGAAGCCCAGATAGGCTTGAACTTTTGATCTTGCTGTAGCCTCCAGAGTTGCAGGGATACGTACCACCAAGCCAGCAACAACCGTTCTGAAAGTAACATTTTATAAAACTTAACATCAAATATATTTCGAAAATAAATTTGATCAAGTTAATGAATTTTGATCAAGATTTACAGTCAACAAAATTAAATAATTACAATTTTGTTTTAGTTTCTAGATGATTAATCCTCCATAACCCAGGGTCCAAAAAATATTTGTATTTTGTGTTAAGATAATTTTGTACTATAAAGAAGTAATGGTTTATCATTACATCGTTAAGTAATAAACTCTAAAATTTTAAGTACCAACCACTAGAAATGACAGGTCGATACACAACAACAGGCCATCTTCCAGCCCCTTTTCATTTGCTCAACTCTCCTGCCCTTGGCAAGACGCTGAAGCTGGTGTTTTACCCTCACGTGGCCAGTGAACCTTCCTTACAGACGAATATTCAAGAAACTTGAGCTGCTGATTCACCTCTTGCGTTCTTCTTGATTGCCCCCCTCCCCCCCGAAAAAGAAAAAAGAATTAACTGTGCATGACTTCTGGAGTTCTCAGCTCCAGCCTGTGACATCTGCCACCTGAGGCCCCGGGCTGCCCCGGGCGGCCTAAGCGTGCACCGGGGAATTC